TTGGTTTTGCACTCGAATGAAATTGTTTGACTGTACAGTTTGGCTTCAAGGATAGTCATTCAATGCCAGTGTGTCCAATGTGTTCGAATTCTGCGCGCCTCAATGCCATGAGTCCTGATTGTGACATATACGAACTTCGCTCTGTTCGCTTTGTTTACCTCCTGTGAAATAAAATGTCTCAAAGAAATTAGAAAATTCAGAATTAGTCATACTACAGACATAATTTTCATTGGTTTGTTTACCTTAAACTGTTATATAAAGTTTCGTTTTATAGAATGTACGAATTAATCTCGGGGAAAACTCCTATTAAACCGAAAGAAATGTACTCGCTGAGCGTAAACATGTCAATCAAATGACGATGAAATGTTTCGTTGCTCTCTGATTTCCCTTTCTTTGTATTGAATTAAATAGTAGTCTTAGACAGTATTGCACGAGGTTTTTGTGTTTACAATAATGGTGTTCTACTTCTACTACAGCCGCAATTTGTGATCACGCAACGTTAGGTAAACCTAAACGATTTGGACAGACAGTAGATTTTATGCTGACAGATGAAAATGACGGTAAGCAATAATGTAGAAATGTTCCTTTTCTACTTCTGAGTGTGGAAAATTCCGAGACACAGTAGACTGTTCTTCAAAGTTGCTGGCGTGTAAGAATGACATTAGTTATCACTTGCAAATTTGTCACCCTTTAAAGCTTGTCGGAAAGAAGAATATAAATTAATTCTAATTTTCAGAACCTTTCTAATTGTTACTAAAAAAAGGAATAACATTGATTAAATAACTGAGACGTGTTGAAATGGGTTACAGCTGTTTGCGCTGAATTGTTTTGTATTATATCAAAATATTCGCATATTTTTATACAACAAGAAATAATATAAATTCTTGAAGCATAGCCTTGAGCAAAGTGACCCAGGTCGGCCTGAAAAAGTTGATTTTTTATACAGAACCGTGACTTACTTGAATTTTAGTTTCATTGATAATTGTTTCTAAACCTAGAGACAATTCAGTTGCTAGAAAACTATACTGAGCGAAACTAACAAAATATTGACATTTGACATCACAGCGAGTATACATTTCTGATTTCGTTCGGCCCAGGCCAACAAGATTTAATTCGTACATTCTAATGAAACTTTTATAAAACAGTTTAAAAACAATGAAAATTCTGTCTGTTGTATGACTAATTCTGAGTTTTCCAATTTCATTGAACATTGTTATTTGTTAAACAGGTAAAGGTATTTGTTAAAGAGGTAAACAGAGCGAACAGAGCGAAGATTGTATAGTATGTCACAATCAGGACTCGTGGCATTGAGGCGCGCAGAAGACACTGGACACACTGGCATTGAATGACTCTATCCGTGAAGCCAAACTGTACTCAAACAATTTCATTCAAGCGCCAAACCAAAGAATAATGACGAAAGACATATATTTACATAATCAAGCTTCATTCAGTGTAGTGTAAGGTGATTTTATCTGTTAATATCAATAATTATGTTTACCGATAAAGTATGCTCGATTTCGACACATTTTCAAATTTTACAAAGTTTGCGCGCTTGTCATTTTTGTCAAATGGTAGATCAGAAAGATATTATTGGCGATTTGTGTTGACTAATGTTAGTAGTTTATAGAAAAGTTAAAGTCATTTGCCAATCAAGTGCCACGATTTTGAAATAAGCTTTCGAAGTTGACATATCGCCCCCAAAAATAATTTAAAGGAAATTTGAGTAAAATGACATCGATTTTAGTTGTTCCCAAGGATAGATCTTCAAAATACTAGAGTATGAGAGAAATCTATATTTGAGCCCCATATTGACCTGGAGGTTTTTACGGAGACAGCCTCATAAGTCCTCAACAACTTTTTGGTCTACATCCATGTATATCTCTCTGCAAAGGTGCTAAAGTCATGTTAACTATGAATCTCTGGCCCTCAGCCGGTCTTTGCAATGGATCGACTGGAACAGTGATCGACATAATATATGCACCTAATCACACCCCTCCTAGTTTACCAATTGCTGTAATTGTTAGATTCGATGATTATATTGGGCCATCATTTTTCAATAGAGAATCATTTGTTCCTATCACACCAGTTACTGCAGCTATTAACATTGGCAAAACTATCCATGAACGACAGCAATTACCATTGACTCTAGCTTGGGCATTAACTATTCATAAGAGTCAAGGAATGACTTTGGATTACGCATGGGTTGATATAGGTAAAAAGGAATTAACAATTGGGATGACATATGTTGCCATAAGCCGAGTTCGTAATCTATCTTCCTTAATAATTGAACCCATCACATTTGACCGACTTACTTCTATAAAACAATTAGAAGCACTGAAATACAGAGTTAAAGAAGAGGAAAGACTCAAGAAAATTGCCAGAAAAACATGCCTACTAACTCCTTAAGACTTTAATTTTTTATTTATATGAACTTAATCATTAAAATTAACAGTATTCTATTTCATATCTTGGTTATATTTATATGTGGTTGTAGGCTACTTTATAGTTCAAGTATTCATTGTTTCAACTGTATATTTATGCTTCATGGTTTTATTTATTTTTGAAATTTTTTTCCTTGTCAATTAGATGTCAATGGATTTAAGCGAAGTCAACATGTTTCAAGATGGTATGTATTCCAAATTCATATTTATAAAAGGCCTAAGTGTGTGAATAATGAAACACAAAGGTGTTTCACAAAATGTTTATAATCCACTTATCAAGAATTTCAAAAGTGTTAAATGATGGATTTGCAGATCTCGATCGACCCATTTTAGATGGGGTGATACAGTCAGAATAACAACTGCCAAAGGCAGAAGTGCCAAAGGCAGAAGTGCCAAAGGCAGAACTGCCAAAGGCAGAACAGCCAATGGCAGAAGGTATGTAAATTATTTTCCAAGTATAAAGTTCATAATTTCCAGTCTTCGATTCGTCCTGACCACGTACCTCAGTTGGTAGATTGTCGATCTAGTAAGTCGAAAGTCGCAGGTTCAAATCCTAGCAGCGGCTTACAGTGTTTTCTGCTTGACACGTTCAGGAAATTATGAAATGGTCAACTTAGTCAATGCCGAAGTTAATAATTGCTTTTGCTTTTTATATTTTTTCTGGCTCAATCTTTCATTAGAAAAAAAATAGAATTTCATATAGTTTATGACCTCACTGTTAGGGTTAGGGCTAATGTGAGTCAGGTTCATCTTTTAAAAGAATATTTAAGGTACTTACTATGTATAGCCGGCAGTTTACTAAATAGGTGGCTGCTGGCTATTTAGTCACATGAGGGTTAATAAATCACATATTAGGTTTACAGCACGAGTGGATATATTTGTTTCTTTGTCTAATTTTTTTATAAAATATTAAGTCTACTTATATGGTGCAAGCGTGTCTGTACTCTATCTACCAAATAACAAGTATGATGGTCAACTATATATGATTAATATTTTTCTAATATTTTTTATTTAATTTGTTTATGTATTACTTGTTAACTTAATCTAGGTGTTGATACAAAACTGCATAAACAGAACGGAAAAGAAAAAGCAAAATTAGACGAAGGTAGGTTTTCAGATGATTCATGTCGTAGAATGATGTCCATTTATGTATGTATATAATAGCTGATGAACTGGTTCAGTACAATCCTGGATAATTAGTAAATTTGTAAATTTAGTATTACTGTCGATGCAATGGATGTGTTGATAAAATATTGCATGAATTCATTTCCTCAAGTTGATCAATTCATACAAATTCAAATTCTTTTTACTTTCTGTGCGTTTCCTATTGGTCAGTCGGTTCTAAAACGAAATCTAATTGGCTCATCTAAAAGTAACAGGAAGCTGATCAATTTTCTATCAAAATGAATTGATCAACTTAGGAAAGGAATTGGTGCAATATTTTATCAACACTTCCATTGCATCGACAATAAGACTTACAGTAAGTGCTTAATTTTGTTTAATGCTTAATTTTCGTCTTTTTAAGGTCAGCCAATAATAGGCTATTTGCATAATTTATCGCCAATCAAGCAAAGTCAACGCAAAAATTTCTATTTCGACCTGGAACTACAAACTAAAGATAGCACTTATCGCATGGTCTGTTTTTCTACTGAAAACACAGTAGCTGCAAGTCGAAATATGAGTCTTCATCCCCAATAAAATTGACAAAGCTTCAACTGAAAAGAAATCATTTCAGCAAGGAAGACGAAATAATGATAAACAAGCGATCAAAAATTGAAGATCCGCCCGAGAATGAAATCGACTTCGACATCGAAAGCGTAAAACCAGCAGGAAATCAATATACTTCCGCGATTACTGATATTGCATCAATTGTTGATGGTAGCTCCGCCTCCATTGTCAATGTTAATGGTAGAATGTCATTCCAAGGCTTCCAGGAGACTATTCTTAAGAAGAATGGAAAAACTTTAAGAAAACAAGAAGCAGTTTTCACTGATAATTCTGCTTCTGTTCGCGCTGTATTGTGGCAAAGTGACATTGAAAAAATTCAATCAGGGTCTCACTACACAATCTCAAGGGCAGTTGTAAAAGAATACGAGGGCAACAAATATCTAACGATGAACAGAAAGTCGGAAATAAAGGAATCAACTGTTACTGTTCAGTTAGAAGATCAGGTGAATCTGCGAGGAAACCTGCAAAAGACGGTTGATATGAGAAGATTGTGTTAACAACTATATTAACGTTTCCCTTAACTAACTGATAAGACTAAAGTATCGAACAATTTTAAAACATAATTAATTAATTTAATTAAGTTATGTTGGGATTTGTTTAAGTTGCATTGGGTTTTGTTTAAGAAACGGGTGAAAAACTTGTCACTTGTTTCAGTAATTATAAAAACAATTTTCATAATAATTGTATTTGTTTTTATTGACAACGTTTTTGCGTCATAATATTTTCGATGACTACAGCTTGCGCTCAGGCAGCATTCCCTACCCTATGGGTAACCTAGTACATAAAATAATACATTGTGCCCATACACCAAACTGGTTGTCACATCTATCGTTACAAGGATTATCGTCAAAATCTTTTGAATATTTCAACCCACTTGCGTTGGTGCCTCATGTTTATCTGCCTAATTAAAATATTTTTTAGACAGTGTTTTATTAGCTTTGCTACTCAAGGTTGCAATGAATATTTCAAACGTTTTGCAGAGGCGGACAAAAACCAAGATTAGGGCCCAGTGTGAGTTCCCCAGAGTGAGATTTAGGTCACTCAGGCTAGGGTACCCAACTGGCCAAATAAGGACTGAATTGGTAACATATACACTCTCATTGGTCACTTCTGGAAATGCTCTCTACGTCATACTGATTAGAGATCACTAGTATATAGGCAAACATTCGACACAAGCACACCCAAAAGCAAAGGAAAAAATCGTGGTCGAAACAAGTGCAACCAACTAACCTTGCGAAAATGGCATCTCCTATCAAGTCATTGAGCTTTAGAGAAGACGGCGAAGGATCAGTTTGTCTCCATATTAAAGTGAAAAAGGGTTTTTACAAACGCATTGCCAATTTTTGGTTCGAAATTCAAACGTTCGTAAAGTTTGGAGGTGATCTTACACATCACAGTGGATATTTGTGTGAGGTGCACAAGATGATGGGAGGCAGTAGAGTGTCGAAGTAAGTTGCAAAATGTTGCATAATTAATGTAATTAATATACGAACTTGTCATGTGTGTGGATAACATTTCAATTCAAATTGCCTTAGCTAGAATAGATTGAATAGTATAATGCTTTATCAGTGCTACCATGCAGTCACTCGCGTACCATACAGTTCATACTGTTTTAATTCCCTTCTGTAGTTGGTTTAAATCTTTTTATCCAGTCCCAGTAGCTATTTTTTATATTAAATTGGTTTGAAAATTATCCTAATTCCATGTAATATTTTCTGACACGATATGTTACACAATTAGTACAAAGTACAAATTTAGGATAGAATTTTCTTCCTTTTTACAACGCATATATGTGCATCAACTTTTGATGTGCTTTATATATTGCTGAGAAAAAAATCCACTAGCTAAATACAACTAAACCGAATGCTGTTTCATATATGTGATTAGATCAAGATAGTTCAAAATAGCGTATTTCGCATAGCGTATTTCGTATACGTCTCTCAGTGATTGCAGTGTTAATTAAACAGGCGTGCATTATTTTTTGATATCAGAAAGTGCTTTGTTCTGTGTCAACATCTGGACTCATCTCAACAATTCAAGAACATATTGAACCAAGCATTGGCCGAGTATGGAGGAGTCGTCTGGGAAGAAGTAAAAGATGGCCAATAAGAGCACTTCTCCAGCAAATGACAGATACTTTTTTCCTGGAAGATGGCAAAATCCGTTTAGGTGTTACCACAGTAGGACGGCAATCAGTGGATACGCAAAAACAAAGCGACTACAACCCAGAAAACGATATATACGTACTTAGTGAGTTTTTACAGGTATGTTTATGCAATTATGCACAGTATTCAGTAATTCGTCTTTTAGTGCGATTTTACCTTCTTAATACTAAAATTCTGCAATGCAACGTTGTGGGAAAGTACTGTAAGTGTAAGTATAGTCAAGGCTGTGTGATTTACACTGTCTAAGATTATAGGTATCTGTTTGAAGTATTTTCGCTTTTCAAGATGTTAACAATTAATGCAGGGATTGCAGAAAGAACTGTTAAATAAAAGCTAAACGTTTTCACAATATGAGCTTAGTAATCTGATAAAATAGCTTATTTTACCTGCTCATCACGTGATTCTAATCCTAACATTAACCCTAAACAAACTCTGAATTTAAATTTTGAACTATCTTGAAATTGACTTGCTTTTCGTCCGTCCCTTTTAGTCATTTTTTATACCCTGTATCCATATTTTACTAGATGAATGGGAAAGGGAGACTACTTACAGAGGAAGAAAGATCGTATGTTTGGATGGACACTCACGCTTGCAGTGACGACGACAGGGATATTGTATTGGATAAAGACAATTTCAAAATTAATATTGTACCTGACGTTTTGCAACCATTCAACTGGATATGTTTCTTGGATGCGGCACTACCTGTTCTCAATGTGAATTTTTATCCATCTATAATGATGTTGGCAGGTGCCATAGCCTGTTTTCACTACCTTACTCTATTCAAATGGCTGGTAAGTGTAATGTTGTGGGCTATGCCTCAGTTTTTAATTAATTAACATTCACCGAAGCACGTAAACGAACGTATATTCAGTTATGTTAATTTGCAAACGTAAGAAATTGAATTCTGATTGGCTCCACATGTAATATGTGTATTAAATGAGACCATAGATATGCATATTGTTTGTAAAATGTGCGAATTCTAAAGACTTTATCATGTTAGTTAGTTAAGGCGGTTTTCCACTAGGCGAAATTTTTCGACCGAATCGAAATTTCTCTTTGTTTCATGAGCTCTTAAGCAGAACTAATTGTAAAAAGAGAGAGAAATTTCGTTTCGGTCGAAAATTTCCGCCTCATGGAATCAGGCCTTAAATCACAATTTCGATTTGAATTAGCTATGTCGACATGTGTAGTCGTGTAGATAACTATAGAGTCTAGAGATTTCCTAACGTACTATCGCATCGTGCGAAAATATGTTTGCATATACAAAGTTTTCATTCTCGCGCAGACATATGTCCAACTATTTGCACAGAAATATTTGAATCTTAAAACTTCTCCAGAGACTAAGAGTTACAAGAGAATACATTAACTAGGGGCCGATTACATGGCCAACTTTCAACCCCGGGCTTAAACTCAGCCCTGTTAACCAGGTTGAATTTTTTTGCGATTACATGGACGATTTCAACCCCGGGGTTGAAACGCTATACTATACGTTCTATCGTTAGCTATGCTATAAATCTTGTAATGTCATGATTGATTCATGAACGAATTTAAACTCTTCACAAATATCTTTGGCTTTGGGAATCGAAATATTTACGAAACATACTGTATTGAGTAGCGCAATGACAATAGAGAGCCAGTAAGATACCTCGGTTTCGGTGTACGGGTATGAGTAGTGTCATCTTGTTTTACTGATGTCTGTAATTCGATCATACTTTTTCAGTTTTCTTGCAATAGACAATGATATAATGCGAAAAATGTGCACCTTAATTACGAGTAAAGGTACAGACATCGACGAAAAATATTGCTAGCAATCGTATGTAAATTACCAACACACCACACACATACGTGCGAATAAATTATGCCAAACGTTTATCCTATAAGACCTTGCTATTATACGGTTGAGAACGGATTGAGTGCTATCAGCCAATAGGGAACTGTAGTTTTGACGATTGTTTCGTTCAGTAATGAGGCTTTACGTTCGTTTATGTGCTTCGGTGCATGTTAAATTAACTATTGCAAATTTATAAACACCCTATAAAGACTATAATTGCTAAAACTATAAATAATTAATTAGTTAAATAATTCATATTAATGAGTTTTTAAATGCTATTTATTGTACATGCTTGCCCAGCACCAATGGCTATTGGTGCACCAGGATCAGGGAAATCAACAACAATTGAACTGATATCAAAATTACTGGGTTGTAAAGTCGAGTCGCAAGCAACAGTGGAAGTTATCCAATCTCTTCTTAAGAAAACAAGCATTCCTCTATGTTGGGATGACCCTACTTATCCTTCAAATGTCAAGGCAGTACTATCTGGTTCCTTCGACTCAAAAGGAAAGAGAACTAAAGGAAAAGGGAAAGAAGTTCCAAAGACCAACATGGTCTTGGCTGTTAATTTCGAGTTGGACGATGACCTAAGGTGAATATTAAAGAGTTAATACAGGAATAATTCATAAAGTACACAGACATACTACGAATTTCAATATTGGATAGTATGCATCGTTCTGCCTTGCATAGGTTCCAATATCATGCGTAATTATTACTACAATTGCATTTGTCTCACCTCGTATAAAACCCCATGTACATGCTCGAGTACATGCATTATTGCACAAATAGTCAAATGAGGAGAAACGACTTGATTTGTTGCTCAGAGCGAGTTGTCTTATCGATGTCTGATTGCTAACATAATCCACATAATTGCGTCGAATCCGAACATAAACGCGAGCAAGCCAACTACATCGAAGTTTACATGTTTCCTTAAACTTCTCAGACTATCCGTAACCTCCTCTAATACCAGTTGACCTTTTAAGGTATTTATATGGTTAAAAAGCTCTTTTCTCTCTTGGATTTTTCGCAAAATGGCTTCAGTAGAAAAGTCGACTTTTGCCCTTTTCGAACCCATGCTTTACAGTGCCTGTTTATCTTGTTTCGCGTGCACACCAATTTCTGGCATGTAGATCTCCCGTGGCTACTACGCAACTACGCGTAGTTTCACCGCCAGCATCGTTTATCATTCCGTCCTTTGACATATCTGGCGTGTATATTAACTATATATATATATATATATAGCTTAAGATTTTGGTTTACGAAACAGACTGTTGTGGTATATATATATAGTTGTATATATATATAGATATATAGATATATAGATATATATAGATATAGATATATATATATATATATATATATATATATATATATATATATATATATATATATATATATATATATATATATATATATATATATATATATATATATATATATATATATATATATATATATATATATATATATATATACTTAATGCGATGTCCCAATTAAGGGAGAAATATATATATATATATATATATATATATGTATACAAGTTGGGTTTGTCCACTTTGCTAGAGTGCTCAACACAGAGATTGTGGAGCGAATTATATTTTGGAATGTGAAATTCAACTAATTTAAAAACATTAAAAAATTAAAAACTAAGTTCATTTACTCGAGTTTCACGCCTATATTGGCGATCAGAGTCTGATGATATATATTAAGATGAAAATGTTCTAGAGTGTGTATTATATAATTTCCATACCCAGCGCAAGCAGAAAGATGTTGTCTGCCGCGACGGGGTCTTGAACCCGCGACCTTCGAATTCGAATTACTAGATCGACGCTCTACCAACTGAGCTACACGGTCAGACGGATTTAAGACTGGAAATTATGAAATATATACTGAATGTCATGAACATACTCGTTTATATCAATTCAGCATCGAACAATAATTTTCATAATTTCCAGTCTTAAATCCGTCTGACCGTGTAGCTCAGTTGGTAGAGCGTCGATCTAGTAATTCGAAGGTATATAATTATATACAGTAACTTTGAATTTTGTAACTGATCTAATTAAAAACATTCTAATGTTAAAAAGTTTTTTAAAAATTTTGCTAAATTTTCGGCTGCAAACTGCTAGCCTTCTTCTGAGCAATGTGGCTATTAAAGTCAGATTGAATTGTTTTTATAATGTCTACTGTTCTGCTTGATTGAATTAATCAACGGTAAATAGCAGGATGGAAATTCAGCATGTTCATTGACCGTGTCTTTGTTTATCACCGAATGTAGCGCTTCGAGAAAAATCCTTTGTGTATAATTTGTAACTCCTTTCTCGAGTATCACGGCGTCTGACTTTGCAGCATCGTGTCCGGTACTTTCTGCGTGTTCTTTAATTGCAGAAAAGATCTTTTTGCGAACTCCTGGCTTGTGCTCCAACCATCTAGAACACCAACATCTCTTGGATTCACCGATGTACGAAAAAGAGCAGGATTTACATTCATATCTGTACACTACAGCCTTTGTTCTCTCCTCTGATGGTCTCGTCTTTGGTATGCGAAATATATTTGCCAACGTACGTACAGGTTTAAATGCTACCCGAACTCCAGCCTTTGTTAGAACACTTTTTACTTTTTCAGAGACACCTTTGACGTATGGGAGACACGTCGAACCTCGTATTTCATTTTCCACGTTTCGATTTACTTGCGTACGATCATTTATAACTTCCTCAATGAATCTTTTCTTATAACCATTTAATTCTAATGCGTGCAAAACATTCTCAGTCTCTTCAGCCTGTAAAGTCGATTTATATATATATATATATATATATATATATATATATATATATATATATATATATATATATATATATATATATATATATATATATATATATATAAAATAGTTTGTGTTGGGTTATAAAAAACAATGATAGAGTGCTCAACGAGTAACCAGAGCATAATAAAGAAAGATACAAAAACTTTACAAGCTTTGTTTGGCATATTTATTACTGTGTAGTTTCGTACTACGTATAAATAACTAGGTTATTCTGGAATTTTATGATTAAATGCAGGTCGAAACTGTTTCCAATTTTTTCACTAAGTAAAATTTGTTTATTTTTTCCCTTCAAAATACAGAAAATACAGAAAAAATAGATTTTTTCCTCTGGATATAGACATAGATACTTCTTTACACAGTAGTTCCCTAGATAGGGCTCTTTGGCTACAATTTAATACAGTATACTATCTGATTAAAACAATTAACGCATTGAGTTCTTTCTGAGTTTATTTCGAAGTCTTTTTCTTATTTTCTTCTGGTGTTCTCAATTTCCTTACTATCACGAGGCAAATGATAAATTATACAGTTCTGCCCCTCTATAGGAAAACATTATATATTTTCCCATGTTGCAACCTACATTTGGGCAAATTCAAATCATTGCAATGTCTGGTTGATCTGTTATGTATGGCGGAACGAAGCATATGAACTTATCAGATAAATATGCTGGTGCTCTGCCATGCACGAAAGCATGTATGGACCATATATAACGGCATCATGCATTTAGGAATAGCGTGTACTTAACATTGAGCCATTTCAAAGAATGTGTATGCCTTCAGAAATATGGTCATATTTCCTGAGTCCCAGGACAACGCAGCAAAATTCTGCACTACTGTAGTTTTAGCCGGCTTCTTTATATTTTTCTTCTACATGTATTGCTCCATATACTTGAACAATAAAATAACTTAAACATGCAATTTGAAACTAATTCCTAGTTTGCACAACACCATCTCGATATGTCATTGATGCACAACTTCATTCAAATCAGATATAGCGTTGCTAAGATCGCGTGGTGGAAATTAAAGGTAATGAAAGTCTTTGTATCATCAACCTAGATTTGCAACTTCTAGGAACTGACAGAATCTCGTTTATGTATACTGTAAATTAAAGTTGTCCCAAAATGGAACTTTGTGGTATACCAAAGAAAGAAGCAAAGACGTGGAAAGAGTATCTTGTATTTTCACGGTCTGTGAACGTATAGGGACAGATAGCTTTCAAACCAGCCTATCGCTGCACCTGCTTTGCGTATAGGTTGGACAACATGAAATCATGGCGAATGCTATCAAACGCTTTGAGCATGTATAAAAGCAGAACAACTGATACTTGTTAAGTATCTCTCCTCTCTTCTCAACCCACTTACACACAACGAATTCAAACTTAAAGACAGTTTTATGCTGTTTCACGTATTCTCAACATACCCACACACCTTTTTTATCAAGGCTACAGACTAGTATCCTTTGACGTTTCTTCACTTTTTACCAACATCCCTCTACGCAAAACTGTGAACATAATCTTAGACAGAATTTACAAAGACAAACGAATTACGACATCACTTAGCCTAATAAACAAACACCTAAGAAATTACTTTTAGACTCGTGCACAAAAACACCTTTTTCTTTGAATGACCAACTTTACAGACAAATTGACGGCGTATCTATGGGTTCGCCTTTAGGTCCTACTCTCGCTGATATTTTAATAACTGTCTTTGAGGACGAAATAGTCCGATCTCTTCTCTCTTCCAACTTAATTAAATGCTACTCACGCTACGTTGACGACACATTAATTAGTAGTGATTAAACCTTGTGACATGCCTAGCGTACTAAAGAAATTTAATTCCTTTCACACACACTTTAATTCCAAATTCACACACGAAGAATTCACTGACAACAATGATGTTCACTGTCTGGATATTAAAATAACCTCATCTGCAGTGGCGTAGCCAGAACGATAATTGGGGGGGGGGGGGGGCCCATATTCATATATTTGTGTTCTGCTTTATTAATTTCTTTTGAAATCAATTGTTTTTATGGTATGTGAACACGAATATATGACCCCCCCCCCCCCCATTATCGTTTTGGCTACGCCACTGCTCATCTGGCCCAACAATATACCGCAAATCCACACACACAGGCCAATACATCCATCTCTCGAGCTTTACTCCTTGGACTTGGTGCAGAAAAACAGCTTGACTGAGAACATTGGTCCACCGCGCACACAAGATCTGTAGCAACATCAACCTCCTAAACGACGAACTACAAAGGATTGCTCAGTTTGCACCTTGGAATGGCTCTCTTGTCACATCACCAACAAGCTGATCAACGCATTTTCACCACCACCTCTAAATCACGACCTTCTGACAACAACATTGAAAACGAGAATACGCAACCAAAACCGCCCACAATCTGGATTCACCTTCCGTTCATTGCCAAGAGGGGGAACTTCCCTTATACGCTCGTGCACAAACAAAATATCCCGATTATTGACAGCACGTCCCAAATTTATCACGACGTATAACACGACTAGTACCAACACCTATCTGAGCCTAAAGGCTGATTTCCACTGTTGCGTTTTTCATACGTACGTATACGCACGTAAAACTTTAAATCCGTTTAAATGTTACTTATCAAATAACCAAACAAATAAAGCAATAGAATTTAGTGTTCCCAAAGTTTTTATTATTATTATTATTATTATTATTAAATTGAAACCACATTGCAGCCAGAAGCTGAATTGCGTGGATTACATATTATCACATGCACTACATATAAATATATTATT